AAGGTAGTATAGCAAAGTTATAATTCAAGACAAAACCTTTCAGGGAACAACTCTGGTTCACACTATCACGTATGGATATTGCCTTTCCCCCCCCCCCCCAGTGTCTGTGTAAATGCCTCCCATCTGACACTGTCTCCATACCATTCTTACCAAATCAAGGATAACCAGAAGGCCCTCAGCTTAATGAAGAGCCGTTGCTTTGAAAAAAGATTTGGCAGTGGACAAAGGGGGTGTAGAAAAATCAGCTTGGTGAGGCTTGTCTCAAGGGAGAGTTTGGGGACAGTACACTGTTACGATGCACAAAACCAAGGGAAAGCACCATTGACCACGTCTGGGCCAGGTAAGTGGAGATAAAAGGTTGCACTGATTGCCTCTATTCCTCAGAATACAAATCGCACGTAACGATTGTACCATTTCAGAAGATGGAGTGCCAACATGAATGATGTTTCAGAGATGGCATAGGAAAGTAAAATGTGTGCTGCACAGTTTGCCACTTTTTAAAACTGTAGACACGTAAACCCTAGTGTTAGTATTTAGAAGCTACAAAAACTTTGCTCTGAGTGTACGTTTGCTTAGATGTATCATGCACTCCTAAAGAATTTCTTCTGCCACAGTTGCAGAGCATCCACAAGTCCTCAATTTAAGCTGTGGAGGCTTATATGGAGGATCATAGTCTGACAACTATTATTATTGCATGTCTTTCGTAAAAACAAAATAGGGGATCTAAGAGTAAGTAGCAATTATCTGAGGACAAGAACAACCTGAACCTCTCTCCTCTTCCAAGCTGAAGAATGAAATACACACAAAACCTCTCCAAGGGATCACAAACAAGTTGCACTGAAAAGCATCAGCAGACATGGCACATACGAAATTTCAGGACATGTACATCTTAAACTGTTTACCGTTTTCTCTTCCACCTATCTTCCTAGATATTTGTAAAATATTAGATGCAAAATTGATGCAATATTTAACGCTTTCCTAAAGATACATCTTTTAACGTAAAATAATTAGCTTGATCATCTTTTAGATCTAATCTAGCTGTGATGAACTTCTGAACAATCTTATTCAGGCAAATTAGGACAGAAAAGCTCTAATATAGTTTGAATTAGTCAAAAGATACTCAGTTCTACAATATTTAGTCCAGAATACTGCTACATGGCAGCTAGTACAGGGACTACTACTGTTTTACAGCACAGCAGTGTACAAGGTAAGCCATTCCAAATTTACCTTCTGTATCCTACAATTTTTAATTCAGGGTTCAGTTGGACTTTGATTGTCATAGACATGCAATGCTTTAAGAAAAAAAGGAACTACATTTTTAATAGTTTTTGTTGAATTTTTTAAACTTAATATGTTTTAATATTTTAAATAATTGTACAAAAGCAAGAAAAATAAAAAATTACACCTAAAAGATTGTGGAATTAACTCAAATTCCTATTTAAACATTTAACTTTCAGTGTCAGATTCACTGAGTTCTTGATTCTCAATTCTGTTCAGTGCACGACCCTAGATTCACCTGGTGAATCTGGTACTAAATCAATGTACACATTACTTAGGATTGTTTTAGTTCACAGCCTATATTTTACACTTCTGTTATTTTTAAATAATATCTAGATTTTGGACCTCAAAAAATTTCCAGGAGCACTGCCCAAAATAGCTCAGGATTTTCTACTAAACAAATGAGCACACTGAAAACAAGTTCCTGTAAGACAGAGAGGAAGGTGCAGAGCACAGGAGGATAACTTCAGGGTGACAAGAACAGAACATAACTACGAACAGTATTAATTTAGAGTTGAGTGTCTTCAAGAGGAAACAGTAATTTTGCCTCTGAGGATCTTCGGTCTAATGAACTCTATCCATTAGAAAAGGACTCCTACTAATTACAACTGGCTTAAGGCATGAAGCTGTTCTCAGCTGCAACACCCTAGCTCTTCTTTAACCTTTCCCTCAAGGGCTCCTTTTTTCCAGTCCAGTGAGTTGGGGAGGCATATGAGGCTCTGTAGGGACTGGAACTGGGAAAAGGAGATGCATCTTCTGTTCAAGCATGGAGAAGGAAGGCTTTGTAGAGTGGGAATCTTTGACTCATGGGAAAGGAGGACTCCGTATTTCAGTAGAGTAAAAGAACAGCCGTATTAAGAGCTGGGTACAAGGGAAAGAAGAAAACGGCTATCTACAGCTCAAGACAATTCTCTCCCAGAGACTCTGCTGTCCTAGTTCTGCAAAATCACTGTTCTATATATAGCTGAGAAGCCTCAAGCCAGCCCTGCTTATATCAAATCTTGTAACAGAGGCAGACAACACCTGGTACTTTATATTCTGCCTGTGATATATAAAAAGTCTTTTTAAACTAAAATGAAGTAAATTATTCAGTAAAAAATAATTCCTGATCCTCCCTCAAAAAGCAAAGATAATACGTAAGTAACTAATATTCTGCCAAAGGTCTTGGAAGCCTGGGGTGGCCGCTGCTGGGTGGAAGCTAGCCAATGTTATTCTAATCTACAAAAAAGGTGTGAGGAAAGACCCAGGGAACTACAGACCAGTTAGTCTAACCTCATTTCCTCAAAAATTGCAGAGAAGATTATACTGCATACTTTTAAAAAGTATTTAAAGAATAATGCAATCATCAGGCACAGACAACATGGGTTCACAAAAGGAAGGTCCTGTTAACTAACTTGACATCCTTCTCTGATAAGGTCATATGCCTAGTGAAGGCAGTGGAGGTAGTTTTTCTGGATTTTAGTAAGGCTTTAGATACTGTCCCTCACAGCATCCTTCTGGACAAGTTGTCCAGCTGTGGGATGAGCAGGTTTGCTGTGCACTGGGTGAAGCACTGGCTGAATGGCAGGGCTCAAAGAGTTGTAGTGAATGGGGCTACATCTGTCTGGCTACCGGTCACCTGTGGTGTTCCTCAGGGTTCAATTCTAGGGCCAGTCATGTTCAATATATTTATCAACAATCTGGATGCAGGACTTGAATGCACCATTAGCAAGTTTGCTGATGATACTAAACTGGGAGGTGCTGTTGACTCTTGAGGGACAATCTAGACAGATTGGAGCATTTGGCTATGATTAATGGGATGAAATGTAACAAGGTGAAATGCCAGATTCTGCACATAGCATGGAGGAATGCCAGGCACAAGTATAAACTGGGAGAGGAGTGACTGGAGAGCAGCACTGCAGAAAGGGATCTGGGGGTGCTGGCTGGCAGCAGGCTCAGTCTGAGCCAGCAGCGTGCCCTGGCAGCCAGGAGGACAAACCCCATCCCAGGGTGCATCAAACACAGCACAGCCAGCTGGTCAAAAGAGGTGATTATAATCCCACTGTATTTAGCATTGGTATGGCCTCACCTTGAGTACTGTGTGCAGTTCTGGGCCCCACAATTTAATAAGGATGTGAAGGTCCTCGAATGTGCCCATAGGAGGGCAACAACGTTGGTGAAGGGCTGGAAGGCACGTCCTGTGAGGAAAGGCTGAGGACTTTGGGCTTGTCTGCTTTGGAGAAAAGGAGGCCGAGGGGTGACCTCACTGCTCTCTACAGCTTCCTGAGGAGGGGAAGTGGAGGGAGGTGCTGGTCTCTGCTCCCTGGGATCCAGGGATAGGAGATACAGGAACAGTCCAAAGCTGCACCAGGGGAGGTTTAGACTGCACATTAGGAAGCATTTCTTTACCGAGAGGGTGGTCAGACACTGGAACAGGCCTTCTAGAGCGGTGGTCGGATGCCCCAAGCCTGTCAGTGTTTAAAAGGCATTTGGACAATGCCCTTAATAACATGCTTTAACTTGATCAGCCTTAAACTGGTCAGGCAGTTGCACTAGATGATCGTTGTAGGTCCCTCGGAACTAAATAGTCTATTCTATTCTGTTCTGTTCTATTCTATTCAACTTCCCTGTGTCCTGTAAGACACAGCATTCCTATTTTAAATGCAAAGCTCAACTAGGTTTTTTCTGAGAAATCACTGCCAATATGTCTAAAAATTACCTTAACACATCAACATTCATCTCTTCTAGAAAAATTAATAAAACTTACCAAAATAATGGAAATGCATATAAAAATAAATAGAAATAAAATGCTGTTGTGTCACATAAATATATTTTTTACTTCTTTTTACTAAAGAAACACAATTCTGTTTTTACTCCAAATACCTGTATCTTTTTTCATTATTACTTTTAATTATTGTTAATTTAGGGTAATGCACCGCCATCTTGATTGCTGGATTTACCTTTGTTCAGATAGCACATACTTACAATAAAACTATCTTGGATATTACAAAAATCGCATTCTCTATATGCTTTGCATTGTTTTATGCATATTCTGTACAGTTGTAGTTTTGGGGCACACTATGATACTTAGGCACACTACAACCAGAATATATGTGTTTTAGGAAGAAATTCAGTTATTTCTTTCAAAAAGATAGATATTTGGCCATCATAATCTCCACTTCAGCATAACAAAGTATTCCTCAGATTAACTATGCAGTATTTCTGAAAAGAAGAACATTTGCAAAGCCCGCTCTTCTCTGGCTGCATCTCAAATACATGCTGCGTGGGAAAGATGCTGAGATTTCATAGTTTCAAAACCTTTTGAAACTTTAAACATCAAACAAACTTCTTTAGAAAATCCACACTGAAAGCCAAAGGACAGTCTTTAAAGTGAAGTTAAAATTATCCTCCTGTGTGTTACTACCAGTAAAAAAGGTCTACAGTCCAACCAATGATCTCTATTATGCCTAAGAAATGAAAATGCCACTTTTGTGTCAAAATATTTTAATGTTACTTAATTTTACTGTTTAAAATAAGAGTTATGACCTTCGCTTTGGAATCCAGACTTCAGAGTTTTGCACTGGATATATTCTTTCTAAAAGAAAAATAATTGCTTTTGATTTCTAAAGATCATAAAATACTAATCTGATTAAATTCCTGCATTTCTTCACATTGACACTGACAATCATAAAAGAAGATGTTCCTGATAGTATGATAGGAAGTAGAGCAAATTCAGTACATACCTCATAGCCGGGGCTGACAGGACACTGAGACAGGAGGTTGGAAGGAAGAAAAAACAGAACAAAGAAGTAAGAAGGGGAAAAAAAAGACAGAAAATAATGTTACTTTAGAAGCAAGCATGAGTATGTGATCATTTTATACTATTTTATTCTATTCTATGTTCTAGAACAGAATGAAAAAGAATTGCATTTGAGCTATGGCAGGTAAAAATCTGGGCTGCATAGCACCCTCCTAGTTCTACATGCTTTTAGCATTTCTGTTTGAAGAGTTTAACTGCTAAGTTAAGAATCAAAAAAAGGACATTGCCCAGATATTATTCTTTGGAGGCAGATTTTTAAAGCCGCATTTCAATGTAGCCACCAGTCAATTTTCAGCTCAAATGAAAAATGTTTTATTGGCAAATGAAAACATTTATACCGAAACTGAAACTGTGTTTATGTGTGATGGTTCCCTATGAAGGGATAATTAAAGGATCCTTTGCAGGATTCCATATTATCCTGTCTCAAAGATTTTTCGAATGCCACAATTTCATAAGTTAGGGTATAACTTCTTCACTTCATAAGTGGTATTTTTCCAGAAGCTAGACTTACAACCTAAATTTAACACTGTGAGCTAAAGGTGGCTTCTTGCTGATTCACAACATCAACAAAATGGTTCCGAAATCACAACTTAGTTAATTCCATCTATGAAAAAAAGGTCTCCAGGAACTCCTCCTCTCTCAACTGCTCCGATTCTACATAGTAAATAGGGATAAAAATAACATTTATTTTAGTCCTATTTGAAGAATTGGCAGACATCTGATTGAATTCAGTGGTCCCAAACAGAAGTTCTATTTTGTTACCAGTGATTCAAATGCCCCACCAATACAAATAACGAACGATACGATTTTGTGAACGAGGATGATGTTTCTTAGTATAGTCAGGATGTTTCTTAGTATATTCAGACAGACTGTAGAAAAATGAAACACATTCCAAAGTGCATGCTTTGATTGGTACCACAGTATAAACTGCCATAAAACTTATCTCATGAACAGAGTAGAAGAATGGAGTCCAAAGGACAGATCTGATACAGGAGAACTGACAAAGTTTATGCACACTTAAAAAAAAGTGAAAAAGAACTGAAACTCATTCGATGCAAAAAAAAAAAAAAGCAGAACAAAACGAAAGACATATAGAAGCCATATGTGACAGCATTTCTGAAAATCTGGTAAATGATACCATGATTTCCTGAAACAAAGGCAAAATTGGAAAGCTATTTCATTTCTCTAGGCCAATGCCCACCCCTGTACCTACTGTAAACCTATTTTCTTTGTGCATGCCTGTGTGTGTACGCATGTGTGATGTTCTGAATCATCAGCGTGGGTACACCGATGATGACAAGTTCTTAGAGAAGTATAGCCTGCAGCGCATATGAAACTTACTGTATTTCTTCACTGGCAATTTTAATATTTTCAACAGTTTTAAAATATTTAGCTTTGCAAAACAGGTATTTCGTATCAGAATGTATCAACAAACAACACAGTCATATAATTAAAAATGTTTTCAAACAGAAATCTTTTGCTACATTGTAACTGTACAGTGCAGTCAATATTTACAGACAGTATACCAGGACACACACTCCTATATTTTTTTAAACAAAATTCCAGAAACAACCCAGAATTAGGGCCAGCCTTCCTTAAAATTTTCTGTCTTGGTCCGAATAAGTCAGCATTTCTGACACAACCTACTGAGAATTATGAATAATCTATAAAGATTTCTTGCTGCAGCTTTTGCAGAACTTAAGCACCTTACTCATTTATGCATCTTTTCAATTAAAAATACAGATTCATAATGTTAACCTTAATTTCCAAGTAGCTTTAGGCTAATGATAATCAGTAGCATAAGTACATAATTATGGTTCGTAGATGGTACTGCATATAACACCAGGTCTACATCATTTGCAATAGTGTCCTTTTAGTATGTCAAGTTTAATAAGTTTAATACTCTAATTGAGAGGAAAACATTATAATTGTTGTGTGTACTTATAAATTCTCTCCTCTCTTTCAAACCTGAAGGTTTTCAAAACTTTCACTTAGGAGTGGATTCATTTACACACAGTGTAAGTTCTTAAGTCTTCAAGTATATTATGACCATGAGTGTTAAAAGGAACAAATATGCCAAAGATAAAGAATACGTATCATTCTAATTTAGTCCAGTTGTTACATTTTGTTCTCAGAACAGTTGTTTTTATGATAGAAAACTACTGTATTAATGCATATACAAGTATACCACATATTTACGTGTGTCTGTGTGCATACTGTACATCTACAGCTACACCTACACACATATATACAGATATATACAAACATTCACCACAAAGATCTCTAAGGAAAAAATGATTTCTCCTGCTTTCTTCTGAACCTTAGAAACATGCTAAATACACAGGCTCCAACGAATTAGCTATAGCTTAAGTGTTACAGATACCCAGTTTGATACAGTGGTGTTTGGGTCATAGTGTTCTCCTGAGTCAAATTTTTCATATATAATAAACCAACGGATATAACGGTCTGATTTAGAAGAAATTAAACTTTAAGTGCCACGGAAGAAATCCTCCAAGATGCAACTGCTCACATTAGCATGGGTGGCAGTTTTATACCTTCGAAATAACCTAGTTCTTGCCAAAGGGAGGAGACTATTGGGAGTGTCAGAAGTGCCACATACCTTACACCCAGATATCTTAAGCTGGTGACCTCACTTTTACATTGAGATGCCTTTTCTCACAGTAATGCTTTATAATTTACATACCACCCTCCTCTGTAGTCTATAGCAGGCAAAACTGGATCCTGTAGCACTAGATGTCATTGTTTCTCAGCAGCAACACCCATGGCCTCTATAGCTAGGGAATCCCATACCAAAAGGGCTTCATCCGGCACGCTGGCCGAGGGTTCTGCAGACACTGTCCGAATGGTGCTGAGTCCTGTTAGGGAAACGTTTGACAGGCGCCTTTTCCGTACTCCACTGCAGTTGTTAGGGATTTTAAATGCACATCTCTTATGGTAATTTAGACCACATCCTGAAAAGAGAAATTTAAAACCCATTGATTATGGTTTATTACTGGAAAAAGCAAACAACCCAAGGGTTCAAAAACATCACCCTTATTTTTGATTAAACTTTTTTCTTCTACTCTGCTGGCTTAGCTCCTATATTCTACAAGTTTTTAGAGAGATAATGTTATGAGCTCTGAATAGTTCTATCTATAACCAGTGTTTTAGCTTCATTTTTCAAAAATCTGTGGTCCCAAAGTGCAAGAAATATCTGTCATCCCCATTTGGGAGGTAAGGAAGTCTTTCACTGGAAATGGTATATTCCATTGGATAGAGTCTGCCAGGAGTCAAAGAGTTGTGGCAAAATGAGAAAAGATAGCTATTACAACCTCACATGGACTGACAGTAACTTCAGTTAAATGATTTGAATTAATACGATGTAGAATTAGATACTGGCTCATGCTCAGAAGGAGAGCATAAGGCACAGAAAACTTTTTCTTAAAAATATATATAAAGCAATTTTTTTGCACTTCAGGTTACAGAGCCATATCTAGGAGGCTTCAGAGCAGCCAAAAGGATTAGTTCCATAACCAGTTAATTATTTTGATAGTTCTTACTGTCTCTACCTTACTGCACCTATTTTTTTTTCTGATGCGTAACCAGTTTAGAAGCAGCATCAGAGACAACATGTGTAAGTGGAAAGGACGGGTCTCTTCCTGAGACTGGAAATCCCATCTCACTGCAGCTTACCTTCACATTTGAGTCCCTGACGCACCAGCCCCCACAGCATTTCTCCACAGTGGTCACAGAAAGCTGGCGCTCGATATGAATGAACAAAAAGAGCATGAGGCCGAATTTGAAAGTCTTCAAATGTAGCAGAAGCTGTAACAAGAAGATCATTCCGAAAATAAGTAAAATTAGTAACATAACTAAGATGCTTCATTTATGTGGTACTTCGTCACAGAACAAAGCAAAACACTTTTTGGTCACTATGATGAAGAACTTTGACTTTTCTATTGGTTGTTCTACTATATTTTAAAGACAAAAAGATTGATGATATACCAGCGACCAATGGTATAGCATATATGATATACAGCAACAACTGGAAAAAGAATAAAGCTTCTTTTACAAACTTGCAGCAATAACTTCTCTGACAATACTTTTTCAAACACAGGAGGATAATAGCATATCAAACATTTAACAGAAACTGGCAGAGTTCAATCACCTGTTGGAAATTTTTCAACATACTCTTTTACAGACTGTAAAGGTCCACAGATATAAGATAAACTGAATACATCCAGTAAAGAACCATCTTTTTTTTTAGACAAGTAAAGGAATATGTATCAAAAATGGGCCATTTCAGCTGACCATTTGGTACCTCTTATTCAGTAGCCTGTGCTGGTATCGGTGAACTGCTCGCTCAAGTTGAACATATACATTAGAGTTTAAGAAGAAAACATGTAATTATGCAGCCAATCATCAAAGACCAAAACCCTGCAGAGCAGTCTGGAAGACTGCAGTACAGTTCCTGAGGCGCCAATCCTTTTAAAGCAATGTGAGCTTGCAACTAGTGTAACAGTCGCAAAAGTTACTGGGGCTAGTTAAAGGCACTTGTGTAAGCTACAAAAATAAACAATGACAGTGTTTTAAGAACTATGTAGTATACAGAGGCAGCCAATACCATAATACTTTTAAAAATCTGTTTTAATGAAGTATTTTCTTTTTCTTATTAACTGTTAAACATATATCAGATAGTTTAATGAAAATAATATCTGTCAAATGTTAAACATTAAGCACATATGCAAACATTTGATCTCACTCAGACTGCCATTTAAGCAGCTGATTTGTGTGTGCTTACTCTTCACAGATACCAGTATGAATGACCCAGGTATGTGGCCACTTAACAGAAATGCTTTGTCTCTCAACAGAAATACATTCCTGATTCGCAACTGAGACAAAAGAAAACATTTTTTTTTAATGGTCCAGTTCAAATGAATTCCTAAAAGATCCACGTACCTGTAGTCCCTGACTTGTTCCTTCTGTATTAATGAAAAGAGGACCAAAATCTGCATACCAATCAAGGAAAGGTTTTTAACTAATTAGAGTGGAGTACCAATAAAGATCTGTGCTCAGGACTCACTGTCCTCTGTGCACAAAACTGCTACTCTTGGGAAAAACCTTTCTAAAAATGTCAATGGAAAAACATGTTTCTAGTCTCAACTGATTTCCAGTCTAGGGATCTTTTAACAGAGCTATTTGGAATACCACCATAAAAGTAGGATCCAATGACTCCAATCATATAAAACCCTTTTTAAAAAATTTTTATTAAAACCATCCAAATTGCCTAACAGTTTGTTTAATTCAGGATTTCATTTTCGTTTCCCAGAATTATTCTGTTCCTAGTTTTCATAATAAACCATGTTAACAAGCTTACTTAATTCATAAAAGTAGGACTTCATAAAACAGTCCGATGTGTTAGAACATGTCAGATCTGAAACAAAATAGTTTTATGTTTATTTAACAATGTTAGGCCAGCCATTTTTTTCAGCCTCAACGGCTTCCAAACACATAAGGGTACTTGTTCAAATTGGTTATTTTGCTGTTTTTTTTCCTGACTACAGCAGTCAAGTTCACTACTGTTAAGGCGATGCTCACTCTGTAATGGTAATGCTGTCCTTGGTACACTAGAAAACACAACTCATCAGAACGCATTTTTGATGTTGAACAGAATTCTTGCTGTTTTACTTTGTCTAGGACTTAAAGTCAACCATCTTTTCTGTGCATATAGCCAGATGTTTTTCTGCAATTGTGACCGAATCAAACAATACGTTGGAAGGATCAAGCACTCGAACTTTAAAATATATTTTGATGTTATTTAAAATACAAAAATATGCATTTATTCTTCACTTGTACAAACAGAACAAAGTACAGGCATATTAACTTCCCTATTTAATTTCGTATTTAAGATATATTATAGGAACTAGGACAACACCTCCCCAGTAGATCATTGGTTTGTGGAGTTTGAGAAGGATTCATTTTTCTGGGTCTCTGTATCACCAGCATGCAACCACCAGGAGGAAAACGTGCTACATTCAGGCAACAGACACCTCTATGGTCCTACCACATACGGATCCTAACTGAGCTACAACAGCCCAGGAGCTGGATGAGATGAAATTATAGACGGAAAGCATACTGAACCTAAAGAAATGTTGGACTGGAGAAGCAGAAGCAAGAAAACACTTCCAGGAGTTCACAGTCATGCTGTAACTTCTCTGCATAGAACACACATGCTAGCATCTGTGCTCGTCAGCCTACAGGTTAGGAGGTTGGATTCTCTACTGTTGTCTCACATGGAAGCAGCTGACAGAGATATCTTCTGTCACCTGTTGTCCTAGAGACTACCAAGGAGTCATTTTGGGCCTTGGTAATTCACACCTGCCTCTCCTCTTGACTGGTCTACAAAACTGTGATATACACGTGCAGACATGGTCTTCAGCATTTTGGAAACTCCAGCCATACGGCATGCTACAATAGACCTCCTCAGCAATGCAGACTGCTATAAGCACATCACTAAGCCTTCACATCTCTCTACTTAGTTCCTTCAGAGTTTCAATCTAAGTCCAGAGCCTCAGCCTTTCTCTTCAGGACTTTTGATTCTCTATTTTCCACAGCGTATGTACCTACAGCTTTATGAAAAGTACTGTGATTAACATCTCCACTTCTTTGCAAAACAAAATGATCATGGAAAAGCTATGTATCTGGGAGCTTTCTCAAGGATGAGAACCAAAACTGTAACACCATGCCCTACCAGCTTCCAACAGAACTGCAATGTACGCTGCTTTGCTATTGTCTCTAGTTTAAATTTACATGTAACAAATATAAACCCGAAAAGCTTACTAAAACAAGATACCCTGTGAGAATACATTTCTCCCCATTGAAGAAGACAAGGAAATACATTATTGTAAGATGCTTAGACATGATAGCCGTGAATTTTGATAACGTGTAAGTGATGCCAACTTTTTTTTCACAGAGTAGACTTTCCTGAGGTTGCTTCTAAAAGCATACAAGTAATAATCAAAGCACTACTAAAACACGAGTGATGTGTAAAATAAAAATAGCGTAAGCCTCAATCTAGCAAAGGATTTAAGTACGCACATAAGTTTATGCCTATTTCCTTAAATACCTACCTAAAGTTATGCATGTATTTAAATTCTATTTTCAGTAAATTACGTTTGCTAAATTGGAAGATTGGAGAGGAGTTTTACATGGATTTACTGGGTGGGTTCTTCAAATAGTATGAACACTGCAGTAAAAACACAACTAAGATTAGAAAAAGAAGAAACTTCAATTGATCTTAGTAATTTAGATCATGGATTAGAAATATTTTAATATACCTTGATATTAAAACTATCATTACCTTGATATAAAACTATACTAGTTTTTGTGAAAAGTAAATATCGCTATCTCTGTAGAAGCAAATCTGAAATTAAAACCTCTCACAAGCAGTTTTGCCTCAGGGATTTGATCATTTGGCTTTCTTCCTGTGTCCTGAATTCAGTTCTATCTGAAGCTGTTAAGTGGATGGCAAGTATTTTGTTATTGAGTGCCATTCTCTCAACTTCATTTCTGTTGTACTGGTCTATTCCAACCCCCCACTGTCCCTTCACAAATGGTGAAGAAATAATTGATATCCTTTCCATTGAAGCTGTAACTGAACCTTCCAGTCTCCCTGCAAATTAATTAATGGGTTATCATGGCTCATGCTCTTGTAATAAGAAATGTTTCTACTTCCAAGGCAAAAAAAAATTAATTTAGAAATAACTTTATTATTTCTTTTGTTTAGTTCACGTTACAAATATATGTGACATTAAATAAATACCACACTTAGCAGTAATAAAGTTTATGCAATTTTAGGGAGGCAGAAATCAAATGTGAAGACACTTCTCAAAGTACTGAACTTGTTGTACCACTTTCTATAAACACACATGTAGTATTACATATTTAGGGTTTTTTTGTGTAAACGTCCTTTAGTTTAAATGTCCTTAAAATTTCTTATACAGTACATGTTGTAAAATAGAGATGACCATTTTTCAAAGAAATTGCCTTTCAATGGAAGCTTAAATTTTGCCTAAGCATTTAATTAATTACTGTATTAACATTGGGATTTTTTTCCTTGACAGAAAGATAAATTGTCTGTGCTGAATTACAGCTGGATTTAAATAGCTCTGCAGCAGGTTAGGCTGTCATTTTCACGGTGAACTCAACCTCCTTTATCTGCTGTATCTGCCACAACACTAACTTTGTATTGGAGTTAAAACTCAGCAGGGATGAGTTGACCAGCAAAACTGTCCACCTGCCATGAACTGTGAGACACCTGTATTTCTGTGACAACAAGCGAGCAGGAGCTAGTAATGAAGGGTCCACCTGAACTGAAAGGTCCTGAAAGTTATGCGTAGAAGCTCCAGAAACCGGCGACAGAGCACAGAAAGGCAGGGAACAGTGAAGGATTGGTAGATCCTACCTTTGGACCGATTTTTGCAGCGGGAATACAAGGGAGTATAGACCAGCATCCCAACAAACCACTACTAGAGGATTTACTCCCCCGCTTAAAGACAGTTGTAGGCATCACCCATAGAGAAGGTCAGCAAGAAACTGAACTTAACAATCAACTACTAGATAAGGAACATCAATCTGTTGGTTGAAAAGGTAACTGAGGCAAGTTCTAGGATGCTTCCAGCATTATTAAAAAAAAAAAAAAAGATATCAATGATAAAAAATATCCTCCACACAATGGTAAAGATAAGCAGTCATAATACCATTCTTCTTCTACATTTCAACCCTCCTGGCTGAACAGAAGACTTATCATGTCATTTTATATAACG